AGTTGTTTTTCATAATTTAACATTACTATTATATAAATTATTGATTTAATTAGCTCAAACCCTATTGTACATGCTTATTATATCTATAGGAGATCTCAACGCACTATCAAATTTTACTCCCTTATCTTTGACATTTGAAATATAAATTTTTATCGTCGAAAAAAATTAAAAACTACACTATTTAGAACATTCACAAACCTATGTCAGGTATTGATTTTTTCTATTTCTAGACAACCTTGGAAAAAGCTTCTTAGGCTTGTTCTCCTCGATTGTAATGGAAACGTACGCAATGCTCCTTGGTGCTACTTTTCGTCATTAAGACCAAAGAAGTGTGGGAAATCGTAAAAACCTTGATATAAACTGTTTTTTTTGCTACTTGCTTCAAAACTATTCAAGCTCCACGAAAAGAAGCGTCAACAATAATATATAAAATAAATAAACAAAAATGGAGAATACCAAAAGATAAACGTCAAAGGCGACGATTCCGACCAATACCAAAGTACAAAGGTGTTAGCATAATAGAGTGACATCTGTTGATACGAAGAATGTTCTTTTTTTATTTCCCTTTTTTTTCTGTTGTATACGAAGCTGCAAGTCTTTATTGCTTTTTAGTAGAGATTGTATTAGCTACATATTTTTCCCTTTTGTTAGCAAATAAAAGTTACTAAAATACAGCAAAAGTATTTGCAACTTATGATTTCTCGTTCTATCAAGCTTCTTCAAGTTCCTAGGTAAAAATCATATATAAATATATGTGTGTATAAGATGTTTTTTTATATTTAACAATTATGCATATCATCGGCTCAACTGTACCTAGAGGAGGCGGACCATTTATTCTCTTAATAATAAGTATAAGCTTTTTCTGCTTAACACTTTTTTCATTTAAAAATCAGTTGATTTTGATTTTCGGTCTCTTTTTCGAGGCATTTCTGACAAAATACATACTAGCCCTCGGATAAACTTGAACAAGACAATGTTTCGTCTTAGAATAGGGGAGAAAACTCTTTTAAGCAATTTTTCTTTGCTTTTTCAAGAAAAGGGTGGTGTTGCCAACACTCAGCCATTGGAGCACTGATTATAGAGATATTGACACACATTGACACATGTGTACATGGAAAAATTGAAAAATCCGTGTGTCAGTGTCGACCAAAAAAAATCCTGAAAGTGTTTGAATTTCTGTGTCTTAGGAAGGAAGCTACAGAAATTCAAACACATTCAGGATTTTTTAGTCTTACTAAGGTCTACATATAGTCAACATATTATAGCTCATTTAACATCCTAGTGCACATCACATAACAAGAAGAATGAAAAGAGTTTTGCAATGCGTGGTTCCAAAAAATGATGAATTTCGCAGTGGCCATAGCTTGTTATGCCAATATTCGTAAGCATTATCAAAGCTGGAAGTTCGATTCAATGTGTTGGTACCTATATGATAAATAGAATCGTTCTAGATTTTTGATGACTATTATAAATATTGAGCAGATCGATATACCGATTCTACCAGTCTGCCTCCAAATGAGTGGTTCACTTGATAATGATTGATCAATTGTAAACCGATTAGAAAGTAAAAGATACGCCTCTACATCAGTTGACTAATTCAAATGCGGGAATATTTACTAGAGAACCCAGAAAAAGAATAACATATAGTGATAGCTCATTTTTTTTCAAAAATATTCAATCATCGATTGTAAGATGTTTTTATAGAGACTACATCCAATCATTGTTTAAGTATTACTAATATATAATAATTGTTATGAAAATCCTTTTGAATAATATTTCCGAGAATGAAATTCGTATAAATTTATAATCGATTCCATTTTCAAGTATATCTGTATCTAAGTCTAGGATGTGACATCATTAAGGTATCTGCCACGACTCTAACTAGGTGAGGATACAAAAGCCTTGCTCTACACTTCATCAATCTTTTTAGTTTGTGTTTCATAAAAGCTATTGATTATATGCAATTTTTTTATCAAAACAATAGTGTTATTGTGTTTTACAGACAAGCTAGCATTACACAATAATCATATCAGCTGTAAATAGTTTTCTACTCAATGTAATTAAAGAAATTTCGTTCTTGAAAATATCTAGTTAAAATGTAAATAAGAACAATTCATTTCTACTCAAGAGTAGTTGCTTATAAATGATGGTTGAATAGAATGAAAGCATGTGACCTTCTAGAATCAATAGAAACTGAAAGCAACACATTTGTTCGTTGCCATCAATACACTTTGCCTACACAACGTGGGTTGAATAAATAAATAGCGTGTAATATTGACACTTGTATTTCTTTACATCACACGTAGAAAAGATTTTTTTATATTTTACTTATAGACACCACCTAACATAAAAATCCATGACAAACAAGAACGAAAATTTATTTTTGTTCGTTTCTACAAAATAATGGCAGTCGAAAGCAAATATCTTACTTCTATTTTTCGAGTTTGTATAGCACAAATATGTTCACAGCATTTGTCTGGTAATCATCATATTACTTCCGAGAGACATAAAAACTAAATGTGTTTCTTCTCAATATTATTGAATGAAGAAGCGCATATAATATCACTTGTAGAAATGAAAAATTCTTGAGGTAAGCTGTAGATGACGCCAACAGCAGATTTGAGTGATAACAAACGTACTTCTTCCGGCAGCATTTTTTCAGATTTCTTTCCATGTTCCAAGTGTAACTTGAGAAACTCTACTAAATAGTAAAAATGGGATTTCTGATAATCCAAACATTGCACAATACTGATATTTCACCGTAGGAAAGATGCGTCTAGTAGAAAAAAACTAGTAACGATGCCTCTAGAAGTGTGTTCCACAGCTCTATTGTCTTATTCCAAGTACTACTCAATGAACTCTATCTAATGTTCTATACAGTTTTTGAAACTTATATAGTAAAACTAGCTTACGCTCGCCTCATGTCGTTTTCGTAGATTCATGCAACATACGTAGCGAAAATCATTCTAATAAATGTTTATCCGTTGCATATGTGCTAATGAGTTTGTGATAAATGATGAAGTATACAAGAGCTTCGAAGATCAGTTCTCGTTACTAAATAGAGATGAAAATACAACAACAGTTTGCACAATTGTGTCGACTTTATTCGAGTAAGAAGTAGATGTCTAATTCTTAAGAGACTATGTCGATAGTACGAAACATTATAAGTTATATTGCTTTCGAAAATGATTCATAACTATGTTCTTAACACAAGCTCTGCAACGAATCACGTGAAGTACTCGTTCGACAAATTTTTCATCTTTTCTACGACTATAGACGAAATCCTTCAAATAAAAGCGTTTAGATATACAGAATGTGAATGCTGGATGGACGTCGGCGTCTTCGTCACATATCCACATCCATTGGTAAAGTAAGCCAACAGTATTCTGCGATTTGTTGAGATAAGATTGAAACTAATGAGAATTTTATTATACCATTAGATAAAGTTCGACGAGAGCTATTTGAAACACAGGAGAAAAGAGATCTGGATCATGTTCCTGGATGAGTCTCTTCGGGTATGACTCAAATTTCATGCTAATCTCACCTTTATTGAGCTAGACCTTGTATGATACTCAATGTATTAATTGTAATCACTTTTGCCTCATTATTGCTGGAATCGCCACAATAAAAAAAAGCTACTATTTTAAGCATGCAGATCTCAGTTCACTTTAAAATAATATCTAAAATATGTACAAATATGAAATTTCAAGTTATGTCTGCTTAAATTCAAGAAAATTTCCTTTCTATCTCAATTGTTCATAAGTTTATTCGAAAAAAAAGTCTCATTTAACTGCAGTGATAGACAAGACGAAAATCGTATTTCTGGGACAATCTTTCACAAGTTTCAATTTTTGACTGTCAACTAATAAATATCTGATGAATTCCGAATTAAACTTTACGTTCTTCATTAAAACCAAAATATCATTTTTTTTCTAAACAAACGACGAAACGAAACTCATATCGAATTATGTACGAATTTCGATATAATCATATTCAATTGAAGTGATAACTGATACAGTTTACTAACAGAACGAAAGAAGAATGTCTCAGTTTTGAAGTTCATATATTTGGGTATTTCTAATATAGCTTCTCCAAAAATAACTGAGCTGCGCTGATTGAAAATAGCACCTTTTGTAAAAAATTGAGATCTCCATAGAATAAGCTTTATTGGAAGTTTCCGACCTTACATAAGACGAAGAAAAAAAAACGATTTAAAAAGTGTTTTATTCTATATACACGACATGTTACATTGGCTATCTCTACAGAATTTCAGAATAAGTTTCACTCTACTACTCATAATCATATGTGAAATTCGATTCTGATAAAAAAATTTCACGTCGGAATTCGAAAAAAAAAGAAACCGAAACAACAAAAGCTCACTTATTGTAGCGTTTTGATAGAATATTTTGTTCGATTAGTGTCGTCAGACTACCTACTGACGTTACTAAAAAAGTCTAACAAGTTTTGCTTTTCTAATCACAATTATATAAAAGCACAAAATAACACTTTTCTAAAAGAAAGAGTGGCATCGTTGGTACTGAAGAACAAATAAAAACAAAAGAGAACAATATAATTCACATGTATTAATTAACTATTTTGCTTCAGAACAGAACAGTAAGGGAATGGTATTAAAAAGTATAATTCGTTATATCATAAACAGATATCTGAAAAACTATATTGAACAATTGGACGATGAAAAATTGAACTTCGACTTAAGACATGGTCAGTTTATAATTAATTATCTGCTTAAATTTATTGTTTGTTTTTCCACAGGACATGTTAGCTTGGAAAATCTTCGTCTAAAACCAGAATCATTGGTATGTAAAAATTAAATACTAAAAATTGCCTTGTACTATGTTTTCTAATTGACTCAGGCTGATCTCAATCTTCCTGTTGCAGTGGCTGTTGGCTATCTAGGTGAGTTCATTTTTATTCAACGCAAAAAAAAATTGAAATATTTATTGTGATTACAAGAAAAATTGTCATTAACTATTCCATGGATGAATCTTCATTCTAATTCAACGAAAGTACACGTTGATGGACTTTATATTTTAATTGTACCAAAAAATGGTGAGTGACTTATCTTTATCATTGATCAAGTTTTGATTATCATAATATCTAAAAAATTTAAAACAATGTTCGTAAACTCATATATAACAAAAATCAAGACAGATTTTTAAAACTATATGTTGGAGTTGGAAACTATATCCTTTTAAAATTATAGTTATTTAATAGGTCTTGTTCTACTTCTAAAAAAAACTAAATAGTTTGTTTTTTCTTGTTGTTTGTCTATAGAATTTGGCCAAGATTTAACTGAATATCATGCGAACAAAATGAGACGAGTACAACGTAAAGTCGATGATTTAAGAAAATCAATGTTAGGTCAGTTATGATATTCTCTCCTTTCTTTTTCTAATTGTATCTATTGTAGAGAATAAAAAATTGGATGAAAAGGATATGACATTTTTTGAACGTATGCGATTACAGATAATGAAGAATATTGAACTTGTTGTTGAAAATTTGCACATTAGTTATGAATCGAAATCGACAACTAAACTGGGACATCCGTTTTCATTTGGATTAACATTTCGTTATCTTAAATTAATTGTAGGAAATTTTTAGTAGATTTCAAAAGCAAAAAAAGAATTATGTTTAGAAAGGAAACGATCTCAGAACAAAACATCGAACAAAAGAGATAACACCAATTATCTATACGGTTTGTTCAATAGAAAATTTATCTTTCACTATTGTTATTATTTTTATGATAGTTAAAAGAAATTAATTCATTATCAATATATTGGAACACTAAATGTAAATCAAGAGTAAATATACCATTTAATATTGTTGTGGTAAGTTGAATTTAAAACAATTCAAACATTTTCTCTTTACCAATAAATAATTAAATCAGCAAAAAGTTTTTGTTTAAAAACTATTGATAAAAATATTAAATATTTCTTCAAATATTCTTAGTTGTTTTATGCTGGCAGCAGATATATTCTGTATAACAACTCGATATATTAATGTATATAAGATTTTTTCTTTTGAAATATATTTATTTTTCTGTTTAATGATTAGATTTAGCTTCGAACCGAAACGAATATGTTACTTCTCCTATAAGATTAGAAAGAACCACTAGAATATAACTAATGCGAAACTTTTATTCAGTCGAAAATGTGCATTGTTCTCTTTTTCCACCGTCGTCACTCTTTTTCCCAAAACAAATACTAGGGCTGTAGTACTCGTCTGAGGAGCAACTTAAGAAATGTCTTGTGAGATTTTTTATTCATGACTTCAGCTTTGATCAATATTTATATGAATAAAGAAAAGCATTTTTTTAGTGTTATGTAGAATATGTACGATATATAGCAACAGAGAGAAAAAAACAAACTATATTTGAGAATATTTTTTCATTAAACTTATTTGTTGAATATAAAATTGAATAGGAATAAATCTGATAGAACACAAAATTCTAAGTAAACATTAAAAATAAATGAAATAGTTCAAAATGTTGATTTGCTTTTGATAAATAAAACAAAATAAATATATAAGAAAATGATATTTAAATACTTTTTTAAAGTTCTATTTTCTCTTTAAAATTGTAAAATAGACAAACATATAGTTTTTAATTTGTAAAAATAAATGAAAAAAAAACAATGATAGATAAATGTTTATTTAATATAGGATGATTTAAAATCAAATATAAAGATAAACGATTCCAAAGTCAACGATAATGAAATGAACTATAGTTAGTATAAATCTCTATTATTATATTCTAATATATTATTCTTGTCATAGTTCTATATCCTATTAATCTTAATGTTAATATGGTTATTATGATAACACCTGGTGAACATAATTTTGATCGGTCAACATTTAATATTAATACTCTTATTGAACAAATCACTGCTAATATTGATTCAAAACAATTTTCTGATTTACTTGATTTTGGAAAATTTCAAAATTATAGTACACTATACGGTATTTTAATTATTTTCAAATTTATTTATTTTTCATTTTTCAATAATGTTCACTATTATTTCTTTTTAGAACGATGTCGGGAATATCGTCAATTACATTTGCAAGAATCACTTCAAAATACATTATTGACCGAAGAACAGAAAGATCGTGTTAAGGTAATAACAATCACTTAGAACAACACTTCATCCTTAATGACACAAATCACAAAATAGAGACAATTTAGATTTATTATCAGTCGAAACTATATGGATTTTTCTTCAGTTCTAAGTAACCTATTCGGAAAAAATTAACCGTTACAGAATTCTTTTCAAGTAGAGCTGAAAATTGAATTTTGTCTAAATATAATTCGTTTAGTTTTGAACAAATTTTCACAATATCAGATTAATTCTTAAAAATCATTACTGTATCGAACAACACGTTAAGAATAGTAATCCTTATGTTATTTAATTCGATTTCCAAAAATGTCACTTTTAATCAGGATCAAAACAATAAATTTTAAATCAACCAAGTATTCGACATCAGAATTCAATTCTGCATGAAATTATTTGTTTTGTCAACTTTTTTTAATCAAGAAATATTTGAGAAAACGAATGCCTAATTTGATGCTAATTCTAAATAAATCGAAGTAAGATCATACAATGGAATCAGAACGGTGATAAACATTTTATGTTCTCAAAATACTGTTCAGTAGAACTTTTTCAGTTCTATTAAGAAATGTTGTTCATAAGCTAGAAAAATACACACTATGCGAGTTGAGAGATGAAATATCTTCCATGTCTAAATCACAAAATGGTGTGCATGAATAGTTAATATGAAATGTCTATTCTGAATTTGATTTAGATTATTCTATCTCAATAAATATGTAAATCAAACAAATGAACAAAAAAAAAATTTGATTATCGTTAAGATATTAGCGGAAAGATTTTCATAGGAATAAATTTGAGTAAACGAAATATACTTTACTTACATTTCATTATCTGACAATGTTTTTATTTGTTAACGTATTTCACATATGATAAAATATAAAATAGGTTTAACTGATTTATCGAATCTAGATTTGATTTTTATAGTATAAATAATCATCTTTACATTTATTTTTAAGAGTTACTTTTTGAAAAAATCATTATGTTACATCGTTGAACTAATAATATTATTTATTATTTCCTGAAATAATATTTATACCTTTTTTTTTTATTGTTTTTATTAAGATTCTTGAAACAAAATTAGATGTATTCAATTTGGCATATATTCGTCATAGTGTTGAAATCGAGGTTTTTTATCTGAATTATTTATGATAATTAATAATATATTCTATAAACACAGATTGAAAATAAAACAACAGATTCATCATTGGAAAATACTCAAAGAAATAATTATCATCGATGGAATTGGTGGTGGAGAAAAAAACATAAACATCATCATAATCATAGTCATTATCACAATCATAGTATGTATCGATTAATATTGATAGTCAATCAATATACTATTTATATTATATGAAAACGATACTTTTTTAAAAACAAAAAAGCAAATTAATACATATTAACCTTCTCTATTAACTTGTTCTGTTTGAAATACTGAAATATTTATTATTTTAACAGGTAGACTATCAGAAAGTTTTATTTTATTTTAATAAAAATAAAAAAAAAGTAAAGCAAATCATCAAATATAAAGATTCCAGAGAATTTAATTATAGAACAATGAATCATTTTAGTTTTTTGATCAAATAAATAAAAAGTCCGTTGAGAATGAAAACTAAACTTTCCTTCTAATTATTAATATTCTAGTTACAATCATCATAAGATAACAGAGATAAATCACTTCTCGAAAAAATACCAAAAATAGACAAACTCGTTTATTATTTACACAAAGTATCATAAACCATTGTTAATCTACTCCGAGTATATAATTATTATCTTGATAGATATCGAAAGTGAACATTTAACCAGAGAATAGTGTATCAAAATGTTATGATAAATCATATAGAATTATTTCGTATAGTCGTTCGTTGCTAATACATATCGATAATTGTTCACCTTTTTCAAAACTTTTAGTTTTTAATCAACAAGATTATCATGTTACAATTCTATAATAGGAAGATACATAAGACAATGATATTATTCTGTGTCTTATTCCTATTAAATAATTCTACAAATATATATATATTGTTTTTACTCTTCAACCAAGTTGATTTGTTTTTTCATAGAAAAAATGTATAAGACGGACTAATTTAGGTTGATTAATTGAATTAATTAATATAAAATTTGAAAATATCTATTTCGTACTAATTATTGACAGATGATCTTCTAATATAGTTGAAAAATTGTGATCCTGTTTGAATAATTATTTTTCATTTTTAGTTCGAGTTTAAAATCATAGTTAAAGTTATTATTTGAAAAATCATTTTAGTATGATCTATTCATATAAACAATTTCTATTGAGATTTTTCCTCGTATAGATTTTTAAAATAATGAAATAAAATTTTCCAATTCCAAGACACTTTTGTTTTTTTAATAAAAGAAAAAGAGAAATAAACATATTGAAGATTTCGTGTTACATCGAGAATAAATGATAAAGAATGACATTAGGAAAGTAACTGTGCTTTTCTTTTTTTGTTTTTGTTTTTTGATGGATTTTTTAAACTGTTTTCCAAATGTATATATATATAGATTATTGTAAAGATGAATTTAACTTTAAAGTGGCTTGTGTAATAAAGAATTCTCTTAGTTATCAAAATAAAAGTAAAAAATTTCAATTGTATTTAATGAGTAATTTTGAAAAATTTTTATTAAAATAATAATTATAATAAGTGACAATTAATCTATGTTTTATCTTATGAAAAAAAATTATCTTTTCAAATTTTTCAATTAAAACACGATAAAGTGAATATATAATTGAGTTGAATGAAATGATTTATATATTCTATTGAATTCAAATCAAATAATATTTGTATTATTATTTGTTAAGATGAAAGAATAATGTCAATAACATCATTGGAAGCATATCATGATGATGGATTTAGTTTTTATTTTGAAGATGTAAGTTAACGAAATTGTTTATCTATTGTTAATGTTAACTATTTTATTATTAGTTATCAAATATAATAATTGATATAAGAATAACTAAACTCGATTTAAATTTAGTATCATCATCATTAATAATAAATAAGTAAGTTAATATTGAATTTAATTGAATAATAAATATTTTTAGTTATTGTTCATCTCAATTAAATGATAAAATAAATCAAGAAATCATAGCTCATGTCAGTGTAGATGATGCAAAAATAAATCTTATTAAACGATCTATTTCATCAAGTTTATTGTTAAGTCAATTTGAATATATTTAATCAGTTTTTTTTATTCTAATTTTATTTTTCTTATTTTATTTTTAATAATAAAGATTTGAATTGAATTTTCCAAATTTTCGATTATATGGTATTGAAGATAATAAATCAAATCGTCGTTTATTGGTTGAATCAATTTCAAAATGTTTTTCTCCATTATTACATATTCAATTCGAATTATTTCCAATAAATATTAAACGATCTGATTATCGTTTTCATTTAAATATACAACCAATAAGAATTATTTATCATGCCGTAAGTTATACTATTATATTTAAAATTGAATATTAGGAGAATAATATTGAATAAGTATAACAAGATTTTAAACAATATATTCACTAAAATAATCTTCAATATAGATTTATTTAATTATCTATGTCTCGATATGTATTTCAAATATTCCATAAACATGTTGAATTTAACTATCAATAAGAAAAATAGCTATCGTCATTAAAAACTTTAAATAAAGATTAGATTTTTCTTGAGCAATTCCACACAATTTCATTGCAAACATTGGTTAAATAATCTTTTATTAAATACTATTAATTGAAAAGTTTGTTGAAAAAACATGTTAAATTTTTCTATGTTAATCAGATTAGATTGATCACTAGCACAATATCGAACTATGTGCTTTATCTTATTGAAGATTTTCCTCAAACGAAGTTCGACTAGAGATAGAAACTTAATTAGATAACGATTTTATTAAATGCTGTTTCATATAACATAATGAAAAATAATTCGACATATAAACAAAGAGAAGAAAAAGAATATCGTCTGATTATTATCAAATAAATATTATTGTTTGAATGCTAAATTGATTTCATTGATTTATCCATAATGTAGATCTTAAATAGTTGTTATTTGTTTGATATATTTTCAATCTAGGCTATGTTTAATCGTATTGTTGAATGTTTTGAACCAAATATAAATCAAAATTCATTTTCATTGTCTGAGTATGTTTACTTGTTGATTTAATAGACAAATAAAAAAAAAATGTTTTTCGAATATTTCTTTAGGATAAAACAACGTCAATATGAAGAAATGGAAAATGATCTCTATTATCAGAAAGTATTTGACATGACAATTGAACTAAATCATATATCAATTATTTTTCCAAAAAATGGTCATTATAATCAGTAAGTTATTTTATTTTCTAAATATTTTTATTTTTTTTCATTTATTTTTAGAAATACTTCGATGTTTAATATTGATTTTAGACAATTAACATTAAAATCATGTTTAGATGAAAATCAAATCGATTCTCAGGTATGTTTGATTATTTATTCTATATAAAATAATATAGAATAGAAGATAATTGTCAAACATGTTAACAAATAATAATAATAATAATTGAATTTTAAAGGAAAAAAATCTTGAAGAACGATTCTATATAAAATATAAACTTGAAATAAATGATCTTCAAATTATATATTATACTTCAGGTAGTTTCATTTAATAAACGTTTTTATTAAAAAGAAAACGAAAAGAATAAATATTTTCGATATTTAAGATGGATCACATTTACATTTATTACGAAAAACTCCATCAATTGATATTTACTTTTACAAATGTATTTATTTTGACGATGCAAATTTAGATGAGTAAGATTAATTCATTTAAATAAATTCGTTTAATAATCTATTTATTAGTTGGCATATTCATTTAAAAACAAATTCTATCGGAGAAAGTCAAATCTCAAATAAAATTCTTCATGAAATAATTGATCATTTTAAATCAATACCACTATTTAATTCAACACTTTCGGAAATTCTTTATAGAATAAATCTTTATTGTAAATAGATTTATTTGTTTTTAAAATACTTTTATTTATTTGTTTTTAATTTTAGTTGAAATTTTTCGGCCAAATACCAGCCTTAAAGGAAACATTTCAATTCATCAATGTTCAACTATTATTCTAGTTAATCAAAAAGTATCAATTAAAACTGGTCAGGAATTGTTTTCTTTTTTTTTGCTTCATTCAAAAGTTAAGTTTTGTTTTGTTTTTCTTTTTGTAAAAGGTTTGTATATTTCTATATCAAAAACAAGAAAGAATATCGAAGAAATGATCATTATCTTAAAAAATTTAACAATGACAACGATTCAGTAAATATTATTTGTTTTTTTATTATGGATTTTCTTTTGACTTGACGATTGATTAAATTTGTATTTTAGTAGTTTATCGAATTCATTTTATCTGAACGAACATCTCAAATTGAATTATATTAATAATTCTACGAGATTACAATTAACAGATTAAACTCAATTGTCAGTATAAAAAAGTCTCAAAAGAAAATAACATATTATCTAATTAATAATCAATCTAGTAATATTGTGTTCAATCAATTACATTAAATCTGACATTTATTTCAAATAATGTCATTTTCAAAAATAAATCTTTGAGAAAAATATTTTTGTCTTTATATCTGTTCTATATATAGAAAATGAAATTAATTACACATTTTCTTTCAGACCAAGTTTATAAATACGAATATACACATAAGAAATGTCTATAACTTGAAAAAAAGTAAATATATGGTATGTATCATAGGAAATTTGTGGATATAATTATATCATATGCGTCACACACTTTTCTTATTTCTTCACACTAGTCTCGAACGTATACTTATAAGAAACTGAAAAAACATACAGTCTTATCTACGGAAAAAAACGGTACTTTCACATTAATTCTAGTTCTATCTGCTTCATCAGAAACATTTGATTGTTGTCGTCATCTAATGAATGATATCGAGTTATGTTGCATTACTAGTTAATTATATTCCTATTATGTATATTTTTAATGGTATTTGTTTATTGATGACAAGTAAAATTGAATGTGATAAATTATCAACATTTTATTTGGTATAGATATACGTTTGTTTAGTCATAAACTATTTTCTTGTATTCTGATTTTGTTAAGGATTTCTTACCGACTGGTTTGAACTTTTCTGAGTCTTGCATATTTTTTTATTTGCAAATCAAACATTTAATCAGTGCATAAACCCTTTATGTTCTCTGTAAAACGATCGAGGTCTACAAAAAAAAAACTCTAATAACGAACTAGAACTCTTACGGAATTGCAATGTTGATCAAGAAGTAGATGTGACTTGCATATGATCAGGAAAATGAAGAATGACTCATATCAATGCAATGGTCGGCCTGGACCAATCTGGTCTGTTAAGAACGGTATTGTTAATGAAAAAACAATATCTATATACATCAAAGAACCATCGAAAATAGCTCATTTGGTATCCTGGAAAATTTTCTCAGCCTTCATTCAATACTTTGAATTTTTTTGTTTGAAAGGCTCTTAAGAACGGTAAGAAATGCTATATTTGTGAAGTGTTGGAGTATCGAATCGTGTTTGTTTTTTTCTTGAAGACATTTATGAAGATCAGCAAAACTGTTTTCGATTCTTTCTTGATGCATATCTCGCGAAAACGTCATGGTGTAATGCTAAAAACTTTAGCTTATCGTTAAAATTTTACAAAATTTGAATTTCGATGACCTCAAAAAGATTTTGAGAGATAGTGACCATTATATTGAGTTTGAATAGTCCTTGATGATGCATAACTCACTTAAAGTTAAGAGCATGATTAGTTTTCGAGAGCGTAATACTGTTTCATCCAATTTATGTTCGCCAAGAAGGCCTATTTGATGAAAGTATTGAGTTTTTAAAGTAAAACTTGACTAGAAGTTTCGGGTGTGGGTGTGGGGATAGGTTTAGCTGAGATTTGGGATGTAAACATGGTGTCACTGGTTTTAGTGTCAGGCTATTGCATTTCTTTCACTCGCATCCATCTCACACATGAAGATCGAGACTTCAGTTGGAGGTTCGGCATGTATGATGGTTCTCTAAATTCACATTTTCTCTTATGAAAAACGCAGTTTTATGACAAATAACCTTAACAGTATATAAAAATGACAAATTTAATCTAGTTGAATGTTGCTGTGAATCCGAAAGCCATATTGAACCTAGAAGTGAGAACCATACGTTGACGTATGTCGAATACAATGTGGAACTTGAATGAAGACCAGACACTGCTGAAGACTTGCCATGGAATGAAACGGACATGACCATGCTAGCGGTTCCACGCCATGACTGAAGTCGTGTCCCCCATGGATGATCACCATGAGAACTCATATTAGGACTAGCAGTAACGTTAGGGTCTGAACTGAAACTCTGCTTCCTACTAAACCGGTACAGAAACTGGAGGAAGAACTCGTAATACGTTTCGAGTCATTAAAGGAGACGTATTTCATAGCAATAACGAAGTCGAAACCAGGTCGAGAACTAGTGCTATCGCTAGTGCCCGAACTGAAGATGTAGCAGACCATGATATGAAGATCGGAATAGGAACAAGAACCGGTTGAATCTCCAGGGTCCAGAATCAAGTGGTATTTCTTAATGACACAGATGTCAGGATCAGGTCGAGAACTGGTGGAGACTCCTACGTCTAAACAAAACTGGAAGGACAACTGGTAAGAGCTATATGATCTGAGTTAAAGTTGGGTCTCGTCAAGAAACTCAGATTGCAAACCGGTGGAGAACTGATACTGACACTATAGGGCTGGAACAGAAGCAGTGCCTTGCATTAACTTCGAGATCAGAATTCGAAAGAAAATAGTTATCCATTTCAAAAAATAAAAGAAGGGTAAGTATCTTTGGAATAGTTTTCTATAGAAATAAGATGAAGATCTGCAGTTTTCACCGTTTCAAAGCATAGATAAAACTGCATCAAATCGCGGGAACTAAATTGGTTTTGATAAGTTTTGTCAGGATCTTCTGCGAGCTTTTTAAAGCATCAAGACTTTTAAATGGGTTTTAAGACGAGTTTTTCCTAAAAAAATCAGAAAACAAAGTCAAGTGTTTGTGAAAAATCTGCCGATATCACGTAGAAAATGTTTATAACTCATGCGTAGTTGAACCTTACCAAATTGGATTCACACAAATTATAGTTGTGCAGTTAATGATAATAGTACACTATTTAAAATTTAAATTCTAAGCCTCAAAGGAAAACCGGTAGACTCCATTGAGGTTATGTAGACATTCGAATAAACTATGTTTAGATTATTTAATAACGTTCTACTCAAAGAAAATCTTTTCAGATTTGGTAGAAACAGTACCTATATAAAGTAGAGTGAATAAAACTGGTTATACAACAGCAAGTGGACTAGTTTGCTGGAAAACATAAAATCGATAAAATCAAAGAAGTTCCACGAGAAGCACAAAACCCGACAGCGTTCCTCATGTAAACCTTATTTTCTTCTCGTTCTTTTGCTGCATTTCTTATATTACGTAAAGATTACACTACATTGATATTGACAACACTTGATCGTAGAGTACTGATTAAAGATAATGGAATTGATTCTTTTGACACTTTAAGGCTATGGTTTTACGCCATTGATAAATCAGCATAGCTAATGGTACATATGGTTCGTAGATTGCAGCCCACAGATCAAAGTACCACTCCATGTTCGTTTTGATTATGAAGATATGGTATTGATAATATAGCCATAGCGAATGATATATTTCAAAGATGTTGGCATCTATTCAACCCATATTTACACAGACATACAAGGATAATTGGGTTTTCTAAGTTTGAGAAAATAATGACCTATTATTAATTGAGATATTATTGAAGAGGAAGTTTTTTATTGTAGACGCTGATACCAGATATCTACGTGTCATGCATTTGATGACCGATTTTCGTTGGGTTATATCGATCATTGATCTGTATGATATTATTGGTAATGGAATATATACCCAGTTGCAAAATAATAAAAGAAGAAATTTTATGATTAAAACAGCATACATCTGGAGAATAGTTTCAATTCGCAAGGTTATGCATTAGTTTTTACAAACACGTGAGCATTATGTAAAATTTATTGAACAATCGTTCGCTGCACCATGCATGGTTTTTTAAGAGCGCACCAAAAGTGTCATCAGTTACACAATGAATTTGTTGACAATATGATTATTCTGGTTCATCACAAACTCAATATGAGACCTGCCAATTAGATATTGTACAATTTATCGCCAATGCATATAATGAAGTTATCAATATATTTGATGGCTTAGCGATGAAGACTTTGAAATAGTTGCGAATGATCATAATGATGATAGCCTTTCTTTGATCAATAATCGCCCTGATGAAAATGAACAAGGTGCTCTTCAAAATTCATCTATAACACCATAAAAACACTTCGTTGGAGTAAAAGTCTTTAGTAAATTAAAACTTTACCACACAACATTCGTATTTTCAAATTTTCATTAATCATGATACAAAATATTTACGTTAGCAGTCTATCTGCTAGCTACTAAGAACGACAACAGTAGACTTTCAAATGACGGATAACTTCAAGTAAAATAGCCCAATAAAAAAGAAGCAATGTCTTTTTCTTTATTATAAGTTTTTTAGCTTTTCTTTTTCAATTTAAAACTGTAGAATCATTGAGTATGCCTCACAGAAGTAATAGAAAAAAAGGTGTACGCTCGCCTCAAAACTGTGACAACATTCATTTGCTGGAGATGCTATTCAGCTGTTCGATGGTAACAAAGCATTAGTTGGAATGAATACGCAGTCGCTCATATGTGTCTCTGTCAAACAAACGGCACGCGAAACATTTCGAAAGAAAAAGCAACAATTCTCTACAGAACGGCCGGAACAGTTTTTGTGCACAGGTTCACCTTATATTAGTCATGAAGACTATATTCTTTCTTTTCCTATGTTATGTTTCAGCTGCATCAAGGAATAAATTTGCGAGCTGTTTTCAATAATCACATTTATCATCCATACATTGTA